TGCACAGGAAGGTTTGTGGTGGCTGATAATGGAGGGTTGGAGACCCAGTAGGTCCCAGGTCATGTCATGGCCTGTAGCACCGATTACTTTAGTTTTTTTCCTATTCCTGTGCCCATATCGGAAGCTTTTTCTATCCTATACCTTTTTCCAAAAGCTGCAATAATTTCTTGAATTTGGGAATCTGCACTCCTGAAATTACCCTTGCTTATTTAACTTTCTTTTTCCCAGCAGTAGGTGGACAGGATTTACACCACCAATATTGTGGTTTCCCTAATCCACCTTGAGCAGCATCATCTTCCCTTGCCGCATGGACTTGCACGCTTGCTCGTTAGGGCTTGGCTGGCTGACGATGCTGGCCCGTCCCTGGAGAGCTGCTGTAACAGCACAGTCACGCAGAAATAAATGGCTCAGGGTGCGGCGTTCCCCACTGCCTGTGTGATTGTAGGACTGAGACTGTTGGACCTGGTTCGATTGAGAAGCATGCAAAGTTAGCTAATATCTGTCTCCGCTCATTTTCTGGCAGAAGTGGAGGATTTAAATTTAATGAGAGCTTATAAGGATGAAGTATTTGGAGTAAATAACAGCAGGTCAATATTCTCCCTCCCCATTTTTCTTGCCATGGGGGTAAATACATCTTTTTACAAAAGGTTTTACTTTTTTTGTTGAAACTTCTTTGCAAGTGATCTTAATTCTCCATTTTGTATTGGGGTTGGAAAAAAGCTATCACTTTTAAATGTTAAAACTTCATTCATTTTGGGGAGACACAGAATAGAAAGAAAAGGCAATCTGGAATGGTTGGAGAATATAAAAGTTTAAGGTGTAGTGGTGCTTATATATTTTAAGGATGCCAGAAAGCAATTCAGACCTCATGTTGTTTCCAACTCTCCCACAAACCTCCCAGGAGCCAGCCCTGTTTTTGCTCTCCCTGCTTCAGCTTCCCTGGGGGTTGATTCTGGGTACCTCTCGCAGCAAAATAAGAGCAGAAATAAGGATCCTCGTAACCATGTTGCATTGAACCCCTTTCCTAAAGGATGAGTGCATTCATCCCAAAGGATGGGTCCTGGATCCCATCTGCTCGGAGCGCTGTGGCAAGAGGTTTTGGGAGGAAATTGCCCATCTCAGGGTCAGCATTGGAGTTTGCACCAGGATTTTTTCCGCGGGCACAGTAGGTGCAAGTGGTGCCTGGGGGATACACGGCTCTGAATAAAGCACCAACCTCAGCAGCGTGCGACCCGTTGCGATGGGCACGGGCTGCAAGCCCTGGCTGATAAATGATGCTCATATCCCATTCAAATATGATGCAAGCAGTTTTTTTGTAGTTTGTCTTCCATTGCGGTAGTAAAGTTTTTAATTAGGAAAGCTAATGAGATCGATTAGTCATTAGAACTGACCTCTGGATCTCTGCGAGGAGTGTGCATGTGTGCGCTGGGCTGATAACGGGGGACGCTGGGGTATTGTTTGTAATAAAAGCGTAAAGTGTTTGATTTGAGTGAAATGTGCCACGGGGAATACATCATGCGGAGAAAAAAAATTACAACCCTGGGAGCCTGTAATGAAGGGAATTAAACCAACATCCTATCTAAATAACATGATTATCTACACAAAACCCCTCAGCTAGCAAGTAATAATAGAAAACTGAGCTCTTCGGAGAGTCTCTTTCAGGAGGTGGTTAATGCTGGAGCCGTGCACGCAGGCACTTTCAGAAGAGCAGCTTCGGCATGAATACACCATCCAATTACCGCTGGGGAATAGAGTTTACCAGGTGCCAGCCCGTTTGTGCAAGGAAGGGGGGGGACGCCTGCAAGCCGCAACAATTTAGGACCTGTATTTCTTGTGTGAGCGTGAGGCAGGGGACGATGTCAGGCAGGAGTTTGATGAGGTTCTGGGTTGATTAGTGGCAGCTAGAGCTTGTGTAGGGGCAAAAAAAAAAAAAAAAAATCGTTAATAGCGTATTCAACAAATTCCCAGCTTAATAATTTTGTAAGGTCGGAGTGGCGGAGGGAAAGGGTCAGCTTGTGCTGTTGCTGTTCAGGGAGGATGCGGGGTTGTGGATCTCATCCCTTCCCCGGTGCGAAAGAGCTGCTTTGTGTACATGGTTGATGCCATATCGTGAGAGGCTGCGTACATCCACGCCTCCTGGGTGACAAGGCGATCTTGTAGTTGGCCAGCCAGTTCACCACCCCTCACGGTAGCTGGGATTTCATCGTGTGTGTGCAGTGTTGGGCCATGCAGGGGTTTGCACGTCTGTCCTCTTGTTATTCCCATTTTGCAATCCTAAATACAGTTCTCTGAAGCAAAATGCTCCAACTTTGCCAGTGCTTGCGAGCAATTATAATTGTAATTATGTCATGAACCTTGCAAAGGGCTTTAAAAAGCCATGCGATGGTGCAGTTGCTGCCCTGAAGAATTTAGTCTGGCACAAAAAGTCCCAGGACAGGAAAACAGTGATGAAAACATGTTTGCTTTCTGTCTTATTTCCTCTTTCTTTTCTTGCCTCACCACTAAAGCAATGGGTGTCTGCAATTCCTCTGGTCATCAAATCATAGAATGGTTTGGGCTAGAAGGAACCTTTGAAGATCCTCTAGTCCAACCCCCCTTCCATGGGCAGGGACATCTCCCACTAGACCAGGTCGCTCAAAGCTCCATCCAACCTGGCCTTGAACACTTTCAAGGATGGGACATCCACAGTTTGTCTGGGCAACCTGGTCCAGTGCCTCACAACCCTCACAGTAAAGAATTTCTTCCTTATGTCCAATCTGAACCTATCCTCTTTCTGTTTAAAACCGTTGCCCCTTGTCCTGTCACTACATGCCCTGGTAAAAAGTCTCTCTCTGTCTTTCTTATAAGCCCCCTTTCTATATTGAAAGGCCACAAGAAGGTCTCCCTGGAGCCTTCTCTTCTCCAGGCTGAACAACCCCAACCCTCTCAGCCTTTCTCCATAGCAGAGGTGTTCCAGCCCTTGGACCATTTCCGTGTCCCTCCTCTGGACCCGCTCCAAGAGGTCCATGTCCTTCTTATGTTGGGCACCCCAGAGCTGGATTTGGTGCTCCAGGGGGGTCTCACCAGAGTGGAGCAGAGGGGGAGAATCCCCTCCCTCGAAATACTGGTAACGCTACTTTGGATGCAGCCCAGGATATGATTGGCTTTCTGGGCTGCGAGTGCACTTTGCTGGTTCATGTTCCGTTTGTCACCCACCAGTATCCTGAAGTCCTTCTCCACAGGGCTGCTCTCCATCCCTTCATCCCCCAGAATTTACTGATACTGGGGATTGCCCCGACCCAGATGCAGGACCTTGCACTTGGCCCTGTTGAACTTCATGAGGTTGACATGGGCCCACAAAACATCCGGTTTTATTTTAGTTTCTTTTAATTTAATTTTTATTCCAAATCACCAGAAGCTCTTTAAGTTACTGGCATTAACTTCCTGGCTCTTCAGTTTGCTCAACATTTACCGGTTGACTTAACGCACCCTTACTTGGAGCGTACTTTGTAGCGCTGCCGGTTTTATAGATGCTGGCTGGTTAACAGCAGCATGCTGGTCTTGAAAGCATCATCAAAAGTCTGCTGCTTACTGCGACGCTGCAGAAAATAATTTGCATGCAGGCATTATTTGGATGCATTAATTAAGCAGGGGTCCCGCATAGGAGTTGGAAGGATGTATAAGCATCTCTCTTAAAATAACACTTTGGTGCGAGGATCTGGCTTCATGCATGGCGCAAACAGGGGTTGGAGGTCCCATATGCTGTGGTGTGGGCAAGTGCAATGCCAACTTAGAGCTGGCTGGGCTATTTATACCAAATGCCTTCCAAATTTTATTGCAGCCATATAAAAGAGATTATTTGCATGGTGTCGTGAGCGTGCTCGGGGCTTTATAGGCAGTGTTGAAGGCTGTGAATCCCTCCATACGCTCCTTGCTCGGTCATCATTTATCTTACAGTATAGTATCAAGGAGCGTTGCGATCGTCGTCTTTATTATGAAAAATTCCAGTGATTTATCTGTTGTGGCAGAGCCTGGTTTTCTCCTCCCCCCATCGGAAGTTGTAACTCTCTGGCTGAGTTTGGGAGTGGAAATTCATGCTACCGGCTGCCTGATCCCTCCTGAACCCAACGCAAGATGCTGGCTTGCTTGGGAATGCACAAGAAGGAAAATATTCTCCATATTAAACTGTAAAGGCACGGATTGCCATTACCACTGCTGCAGGGAGATGGGGAAACTGTTCCCTCCACTCTAGGGAATGAGATCAGCTCTAAAATGCATTTCCCTATTTTTCTTGTTTCGATATCGATCCAGCATCCTGAGATTACCAGTTTACCTGGAATCAACCTTACTCTCCCTTCTCTCGCAGACACAAACATGGGGACGGGTACAACATTTTCAGGGGAAATAATGATTCTGCTTTTCCCCTCTCAACCTTGCAATAATTTTAATTAGAGTATCTCCAAGAAAAACAGCCGGCCCTTTAAATCAGTTATAAAACCAGAAGACTTAGTCTCAGCATGTAGTGTCAGCTTTAATTATCTGGGCAGTTATAGCTGTATGTTATAAAAGTCAGGCAATTAGATGCATTCCTTAAAGCCGTGAAAAAAATTGCTAGCTATCAAGTGGAGGAAAACCAGAGTCAAACATATAACTGTTAATTGCATGAAACATTCAGCAGAATAAACTGGTGTGTAGATCATCCTGCAAAATATGATGAAAACGGGAGTGATTAAATGTGTAATTCTGTTTCCAATGTAGATATTGGGGGTCAAGGTACTAGTGAATGCATGATTCACCTGGTAGAGTTTTGCTGCCAGGCTGGTAAAGCCAAACACCCCCAAGCTCATCAGAGCCTTTCTGTTACCGTGAACCATGGTGGTCCCATGCCTGATACACCCCGGGGGTCTTTTGCCCCTTTTGTGGGTGCTAAAGAGTTGGGTGTAGGACCTACACTGGTGAGGTCCCTTCTGTCCCATGCACACCTGAATTTCAAGCTCTTTTTTCCATTTGCTTTCTCGTAGGAGCAAACTTGCACTTCATAAGGAACCCCCCAGCCAACAAGGTGATAAAGACACGCTACAGGATAGTGAAGAAGAATGTGGTGTCTCCAGCCTTATCGTCCTTCAGCAGCCCAGTTCCCAACTGGAAGACGAGACGCCCCGTGACATCCAGGTAATGCTTCCATCCCTTGAATGCAGCTGGTTGGGACACGAGAGCCGAGGGAGCTCCCACGTTGGCTCCGTGTTATTACTGTTACGTGTTTGTTGCTTAATTTCTCTATTTGTTTAGCTGCTTCTACGCAGTTTATTGACTTAAAGTGTAAAATCGTATTAGTAATCACATTAGCCCGAGTCGGCGGCCAACAGCTTACCGCAGTCTGTGGCTTCATATTTATTCCCTGTTTGAATTAATTGTTTCCATGAAGCAGTTAAATAAGCTGTAAGGAAGATGAATAAACGCACACAGCTTTTTACATCAGACCTAAGTAAACTTGCTGCTTCTTTTGGAGATAGACGTGGCCTCTTAATTAGGAATGGTCAAGCCTGCTAACGAGGCCAGACCTTCCCTTTATAACATTATTGTGTATGTTGGTGCTACAGAGGAGCTTACTGAAAGCGTGTTGGAGGCAGATGCCCCAAACCTACACCAGGAGATAGGTGCAGGCACAGACTTGCTTATTCCTGGGTTATCTGGGCGGGTGGACCATAAGCCGGGCCCTGTAGCAAATAATTTGGCGTGCCAGCACCCGTCTGAAGAAGGGTGTCACCAAAGGATGGTGCCGAACCCTTGAGTCTGAGTCTTCCTTAAATCAGCTGTGCTGACATCTGTATTTCAGCTACGAGCGAGCTGCAGCCGCCTTAGCTGGTGGAGATGTTACCAGGGAACATCTCGGAGACCAAGACAAAGCCTGCAACTTGTGTATAAGCAGAAGGGTCGTTATGGTAATTGATGCTCTAGGAAGAGGCGCTATTAGAACTGATATTTTTGGTTATAACCCAGATTCTGGCTATTCTTAGGCTGAGAATGACTTCTCCTCCCCTTGACATGCTGGTTCGCCAGTCTTGCAGGCAATATTTTGGGCAAAGAGAGCCTGCTCTGCTCTGCTATGGGCTTGTTCGTTTTATTATTTATTCCAGTGTAGCAAACCCGAGGAGCTAGGGGATGCTGTGGACTGTCCCCCACCATTGGCTCCGCCGGCAGAGCAGAGACACGGGCCGGCATCAACACCCTGCTCCAGGTGGTTTCTTCCAAAAGTTATTTCCCCCCACCAATGCCCCAAGGGTTGACGACTTTTGTGGTGGGTGCTGCGGAGAAACAAAGATTGCGGTGATTGTTTTTAAAGCCTAACTTCACCTGATTTTTCCCTACTAAGTGAATTTGGCTTTGAGTTTCACAAATATTGGTATCTGAAGGGAAGGTTGGTTTTGGAGGACTTCAGGGTGATGAGGCAAAGTACCAGGTAAACAGAGAGATTTAAAAAGGTGTTTATTTTCAACCTATTTTTTAAAATATAAAATTAGATCTATTATTTTGTCTGTTTTTTCAAGCAATTAGTAGAGAAACTCTGGCCTCCGTTTCAAAGTGCTGCTTCTTGAATGGAAACAGTGGGATCCTTTTGGGCTAATGGCTGATTTCCACCCAATTTTTTTTTCAGTCAATCTTACCTGCTCTGCCTCCTCCTTTTTCTTCACCTTCTACTTTTGCCTTTGATGTTTTCCTACCTGCACATCATGCCCTTTTATCCAGTCCAGAGATCCACATGTCTCCTCTTACTGCCCCCCAAAAGTGGCTGGTTTGCCTCCTTCAATTAGTGCTCCCCTTGTAGGTGCCACCTCCATTTGCACGTCCTTGGGGCCAACTTCTTGCATTTCCCTTTCCACAAACAAACCACATATTCTTTTTCTTGCTCCCTTATCCTACTTTTTCACTGAATCAAGGCTGCATGTGTGTGCATCCTACCTGCCCGTGAGAGTTCTTGCTTGCTCACTGCTCTTAGGCTATGATAGAAAGCCAGACTATCAAATGATTAATTGTTGCATTTCTTCTCTGGCCCCAAAAGCAGCTTTTTAAAAACATTATTATTAATATTTCAAAGTGTGGCTTTTGCATTGTGAATGTATAAGTATGTTACAGTAGAATCTTAAATTGTATTGCTTCTTAGAGGTTCATAATTTGCTGCTGATAATTATGGTGCCTGGTATTTTGCGTGCAAACGAAGACTTTTTTCTCGTGGCTTTTCATCTCCTGTTTCCTCCTGCAGTGTTGGTGTAATGCTGACTCTGGTTTTGGTCACTCCCGTAGCTACAGTCATTGCTGTGCTACTCAAATTGCCCCTAATGAGTGCATTTACATCCACATCAACATGAGTCTTGCCCTTTCCCATCCCCAGCTCAGTTCGCTGCTTTTTTGGTCCTGAACCAGCTGTTTTGAGCAAATCCTCCTCTTTTTATTTAGGTGGAAACAGCTGCTGCTCTCTGTTCCTGGTAGAGGCAGTCCCGTTCAAATGACCCTTCTCCCTCCGTCACTGCCCTCGCTGCAAATCCTGCTCATCTGTTGGAGAAAAGATTGATTTTTGTTTCTAGTTTTTGTGACGGTGAAATGTTCTGCAACGGATCTGTGCAAAGCTGCTGCTTTACTGTCTCTCTGCCGTTACTGCGCCTCAGCCAGGACCTTGAAAGAGAATATGTGAGGCAGGCAAGGCTTGCCCTGCTCTGTAATCACCCCAGTTTTATTCCTGGGAGGGGAATTTGTGTCTTGTACCTGCTGTCTGTTGGTGGATTTGGTTCTACAATGGCTTTCCCAGCTGGTGAAACTTGATGATGTTTTCACCACTTGATGCTCTTTATAGCAAGAATCATTGTGTCATACTGTGACATGACGCTGCCCAAAACTATTATCCCATTGATGTACGAGCCCGACTTGTGAAACTCTTTCAGGTGCAAGTGGTAAGGGAGGGAGAGAGAGGCTTATTTGTAGCCGTATCGAATTTAATCTGCTGCCCCTTGATGAAGTGCAGATGCGTGTGTTTAATCCCATGCTGTAATAGATGACTAACTTGGTTGCCCAGATTGGTGGTTGATGCCCCATCCCTGGAAAATTTTGGGCTGGACGGGGGCTCTGAGCAACCTGATCTAGTTGAAGATGTCCCTGCTTATTGCAGGGGGGTTTGACTAGATGACCTATGAAGGTCCCTTCCAACTCAAACCCTTCTGTGATTCTATGAACTTCAGCCTTAGTTAATAGAAAAGAACTTGTGCTCCGACTATTTGGCTCAGGTTCTTCTGTCGCAGCTTGTTACTCCAGATCTGGATGGTTGATGGATGGAGGACCTGCAGTAAGAGCCGAGGAAGGCAGGAGCTTCAGGCAGGGGATTCAGGCAAGGTTAGAGCAGCAGTCTCTGGCTGCTGGGTGGTAAGTGTTTCTCAACCAAGCAGGGATTTTGCGGAGGAGCAACCTGTTCATGCCGCCGCGATTGGCTGAGAGCTCCCACTTGTAGAATAATTTTATCTGTATTAATCTCTGACTTCATTAAATGATGTAGTTTAGATCTTACAGCTGTTGCAGACAGATCTTGATAAAATGCCATCAGCAAATTAAAACAATTATATTTTAAAGAAGCAATAAATCTCTTACTTAGTCTCCCTATTACCTTCGTTGTGTGTGATCAATCATCTGGACTGTCTGGAGGAAGCACATGGCAAATGCTTCTCCTATAGTTTTTCATGTTTTTTTTTTCTCCATCGTTCATAGCATCCTCTTGGATCTGTAACAAGCAATGAGCCAGGAGCTGCTTTCTTGCTGCTTTGCTTTGCTTTTGCCAAAACTATGGGCAGCTTTGGTGGTGGCGGGACATGCTGTGCATGCCTGCAGCACTGGTTTAGTCACCTCCTCATTTTTATCCTTTGGTGTGTGTCATACTGAATGGTCAACTATTTATTTTTAATATCCTTTTCACCTTAAGCCAGAAGTGTGATGTTAAAAGGCTGGTGGTGCTGCAGTCAAGTGCTGCTCCCAAACTGGTTTCTAGCTGAGGCTAAGGGGAAGTTCCTACTATAAAATCCAGGTTTTGGGCAGTACAAAGGTGATGTGCAGGGGTTTTACATGACCACTGATCTTTTCAGATGTAATACACTGCCTTAATAAACTTTAGGCAGGAGCTGTGTTCTTGTCCATCTTGTGAACTTGCTGTCAGTAAAGAAGTTTATGATATTCCCTCCTCTCTTTTTGGGTATCTGTGCTGCAGTTTGCAGCAAGAAACGTTGCTGGGGCATCCAGGACGTTGCCTTCATTGTCGATAAACTCCCCCAAATCAGCAGGCTAAGATGAAGAGGGACGTGTCTTTGGGAAATGAGTGACAGGAAGAGTCGCTGCAGGTCTGGAGGTACCCGCTGCTAATCCCTTGGTGATGAGTTGCGTTCTCCCCTTATTGCTAGGTTGCATTAAACTTCGCCCTGCTGCTGACTTTTCTTAGAGGCGATAGATGGGAGTATATTTTAAATTAATTTTACTACACTTTTTGTAATATTTTTGTTTTAAATAGATTTATAAGCAACTTGGGGGCTATTTCTCCAAATTTATGAAGATAATTTTCACTCTCTTGATAAGGTTAAATTTACACCTGCTATTTCCATATTAATTCACATTGCTAAGTGGATCTAATTTTCTTCCGTTCTTCTATCTAGCGAGTGTGGCCTTTCCTAATGCAATTTCCCCCTCACTAAATCACTGTGATCGGGAGTCATGATCGAGTTAAATTAACTTAAATTAATTTACTTAATAAGAGCTCCAGATCATTGTGAATGAGGTTAAGATTTATTGATTCTCCTTTTCACTCCTCCCCCTTATCTCTCTCTGCTTTGCAGGAGCGCAGCTCAGAAGGGCTGTGATTTGCTTGCCTTAAATTTCATTTGCTCCTATTGACATTGCGGTTGGTCATCGCTTAGAAATCGCGGGGGGATGCCCTCTCCCCGCGCAGCCTCTCACCGCTGGGAGAGGGCTGAACGAGTTGCCGCGGAGGAGTTGCGACGGATGAAGCGGTGCGCTGAGCGACGGCGGCGATGCTGCTTCTGCTCCCAGCCTCTTTCCGTGGTTCGCGTGGTGTCAGGAGATGCAGCCACCAGTAAAACCAGGATGCCTGGGTTTCGTAGACCTTGCCCAGAGGCAGCAGAAGC